TTTTTTTCAATACAAAAATATTGATGTGAGAAAATTGAATAGATAAGACATTTAAAATTTTTTTAAATATAATAGACATATTAATAACTGTTTAAATGTTTCCCCATTGTTTCATATGATCATTTTGTGAATGGAAATTTCAAATTTAATATTAATGTATACAAATGTAATTCTTTCTTTTGTTTATTGATTAATTAATTATTTTTTTAGATGTATCGTTTGACAGTGAGGTCAAGCAAAGAACCTGTGTCCATTGAAATTTGTGATCTTTTGGCTGACCAGTTTTAAAATTTTGGTAATAGTTAATAATTGTGTAAAAGCACCATGGAATATTGAATATTATTTTATTTTATTTTATTTTATTTTTTTGTGATTTTGAATTATTGTTTTATATGTATTATGCACGCACACACTAGTTATATGTACACATACAACTCTAAAATCATCTGTGAATAAAACTACAATAAAACGCTCTAAGTCTGAGGTCGTATAGTTTATTTAATTATTATTTTTATGTAATTTATTTAATTGTTTTTCTTTTAATGTATTTTATACTGTATGTGTACATGTATCTGGAGAACAAGTGTTGCCAAGACCCCAAAGATGTTAAGTGGTAAAATTAAAAAAATATTTTTATTTATTTATCATGGATAATAATTAAAATGTAGGTTTCTTTTATATTATTTTATAAACATCATCATTATTTTTGTTTTCAATACCTAAAACTGTAATGAGTAGATTAATACTGCTACAGTTCTGTTATAGTATTATGTGATGATTCTCTTTCTTTTTCTGTAATCTACTCAAAATTTAATATTTGGAAATTTAATAAAAAAAAAAAGTTTCTTAACATTAATTTGAATAGTAAAATCCTATTTAATTTTTTTTTTAAATTAAGTTATAATAGTGTTTTAGAAGTTACCACAAAAAACTTAAAGTAAAATACATTTAAAAATGCTTGTTTTGAGAAATTAGGAAAAGTTTATTATATATATATAAAAAAAAAAAACAATCTTACAGAGCATTGCAATTATATATATTAAAATATTAAATACATTTGCTAATATATATATCCTACACAATTATTGTGCAAATTATATCTTGTAATATATAGAACCCTAGGTTTATATAAGAATAATTAATACACATCTAAATATTATGTTACAAATATTGTTTTAGTCACTAGGCTAGTATTTTATTTATTATGCCATTTTAAACTATTTCTACGAATCTATCAAACATAAATAATAATTATGAGCTGCGTTTTCACTCTAATTAGCTTAAAAATTTGCATTAAGTGGTGATACTGTTTAGTAGTAAAATTAAAGAAACCACATTCATTAATTGTATGTTAATTACCATCATAATATAAGTAATAATAATCATAAATTTTATTTTTGAAATTTATTTAGTTCTAAATAATTTATTTCCGGTTCCACATTCAAGTGAGTCTGATTAATAATATTCACTATAAAAATAAACTCTAAAAAAATCTCATTTTTCATTGATATGATTTCTTTTTCCTAATTATTATATAAATAAATTTGTATTAAAATTAAATTAAATAAAAATATTTTTAAATCGTTTAACCAATTGATCTTCCCAGTCATGTTAATTTTCTCTGCTCTTTGTAATGATCCATTTTTAATTGTATTTAAATTGTCTGTACCATGATAACTTATTATATAATACCATTTTGTTATGTCTAAAGAAAATGTTTTCATTAAATATTTTATCTCTAAAATCTTTTCGACCCTAGTTCTTCAATTATTGTAAAATTAACTATACTTAGTACATTATACTCTCCTGATAGTTCTTTAAGAACATACTATTAACTTATAATAACCTACTAGCTTTGCTAATGATATATTATATATTATTATTATCATTATATCGTTATTTTCTAAGTATGACAATATATTTAATTACTACCATATTATCATATTTTATAAACAATATAACTTAACATGTGATCCATCCTTTTATCCTAATTATTTATTTTTATTTTGTATTCTATTTTATTAGACAAAACTTAAAAAATTGTCTAAAAAAAATCCTCACTGAATATAATGTATTAAAAAAAAAAAAAAAAAAAAAAACAATTATAAATGTAACTATTAGTAATTATTTATTGTTAATTTACATTATTTTATACCTCTTTTTTTTTTTTTATTTATCTTTATTTTATTTATTTTCATGTAATAATATAATAATCAACGGTTAAAATTTATTTTTATTGATTGTCTTAAACTTTAAAACACAGTGGCTTAAATATATGCAACTGGCAACTATATTCAATATGTGTCTACTGTCTATGTTATTGTTGACACTACAATATATAATATATAAATATATTAATAGATACATATCTATTGTATATTTTAGAAAAATCTACTTTTCTCAACTTGTTTTATCATTAATCAATATCCACAAAAAAGTTACTTTAAAGTTTTCACAGAGAAGATTTACTCATTTTCAATTCAAAAGTTGTACCATTTTTCTCTTTATTTGGGTATCTAAAATGTTTGAACTGTTGTATTCATTTACAGTCGATATCATTCTTTTTTTTAACAGTTTTTTTTTTTTAATTTCTATAAACACATTCAAACATATTTTTATACAATATATAAGACGAATGTACATTTTTTATTCATTCTTGGTGGATACAATAGAACAAGATACCATTTAAGTTTCAACATCAGAGCTTACAAATCACAGGATTTATTATTATAAATTTAGGACCAATATCTTTGATTCACTACTAATGTCTTTATGATAATAATATACATACTTTTCTATATTTAGGTCCCTGGACATCAGGCATTCACAAAATGTTACCAATGTAAATGTTTTTGGTATTTTTTAAACTACCTTTTTCAATAGTCTGAAATTGATGAAAAAAAATGATAAGTCTTATTTCATCACATTCGTCGTAAAGTTAGTTAAGGATTAGGATTTAAAAGCTAAAAATTGTTATCTTTTTTCGAACAAAGTTCCATAATTACTTAGAATATGATAAATTTTATCCTAGTTTGAAATTAAAACAGCACAATTTTATAAACTTTTACAATAATACACTTTGTTTACCTCAATTCTTAATATTTCCTTTTTTTTTTTTTTTTTTAATATTTCCTGTAGTGCAAAATTGTTGTTTTATGTAAAATATTTTTAACAACCTATTGATTTATGTTACAATTTCTTACTTTGTATTTTTAATTTTGTTCATTGGATTTTGAATAAATTATAAATAATAATAACCTACCTATATTATGTACTATATTTAATATTTATTATTTAGATACTCATTTATTTATTATTTCAACATGGACTGACATTGCTATAATACTTTTTAAGATAATTGATAAAATTAGTTGAGAGAAGTACACATAATAAAACTAGATTTCACTTGAATATTATATACAAAAATATACAATGGGTATCTACTTAATATTAATTATATTTTATTCTTTGTATGATTAATTAATATAATATAACAATAAAAACTCGTTACTATTTATTCGTGTCATGTTAATCTTTATGTTTGGTAGATATAAAGGCGGTAAATATATTTTTCGTTAATTATTATAATTTTTATTGTTTTATTTTTGTATCATTATTATTTTAATTTATAATTTGTATTGTTGTTCAAATTGAAGTTTTTGTAATTTGTTAGGTGACGAGTTTTCGAGCTATCATCGTCTTTTATGAATCGGTGTTTTATTATTTGTCCATTATCATTTGTAAAAACGAATAAACGTGTACTCATATTATACAATAGGTAATTTGTAATTTTGTGTATCATGACCTATTTGTATGTTATTAATCTTATTACAGTTATGCGTATTTAAATTGTGCGATTTGTGTACCTACCAATCGAATCTGATCTTAAAAATTAACTCGTAGGTACTATGGTATAAGGTACATCTGCTTCGGTTATGGATATTTTCATTAGAAAATATAGGTTATTTCGGGGTGGGGGCGTATCTAAAACTAAATTATGTATTAATTATATTATGTAATAAAAAATTGAACAAATACTATAACCCACATTGCGTGGTTTGTATTGATGTTATAAAAGTTGGATCGATCATTACGCAACAATGCAACACTTGTTTGACGAGGACATTGACAACGTTTGCTGTTAAATCAATGCAATTTAATGTATAGAAGTGTCTTTCGAATTTAAACTTCACTTTTTCTTTAATAAACTAGATTAATAAATATACCTAATATACCTAGGTATCAAATATTGTACATAATAGGTCAGGTGTCAATGTAGTCAACAAACGCTTAAAAAATCAAGAAGTTTAAATAAATGAGTCACTTAATCTTTTATTTCAATTTTAATACCAAACTAAAATAGTCGAATAACTTTCATTAAGGCTATTCTTGTTTAGATTTGAATAACCATTGATAATATTCAGCATACACGATTCCGTAATATTTTGATTGCAATTGTCCATACCAAAAAAGCAACACTTATGGAAAATTGAACATTTTATTTTCAAACTTTACACATTACTCATTGTTGGACACTTGGACTTATCATATTTGATGTTGTGGTCATGTAAGAAACTTTTTTTCTAGTTAATTTGATATTGAAACATGATGTTTTTTGTACGCCGACAGTCATGGTTAAAAGTATTTGCAGGAAACATTTACACTATGGTGAGCAGTGTAAATAATCGCTAAACTTAAAATAAATTGACAGTGAGCAATTTAGATATATTATGATAGTCTTAAACGTGATGTAGCTATTGGTCCTTGATTGGTGAATTAATTTTTATCGAACCATCATAGATTAATCATTGTCTTTTGCAACCCGACTATACAACACTTTATATTCTAAAATATGTTTTCTTTTTAAAAATATTTTTGCTTTTTTTGTGCCAATATTATAGACATTTGAAGTTTTCAACTTTTTACAATTAACCTATGTTGAAAAATGGTTTTTCTCAGCAAATTAACCTCAAAATATCTAATGATCATATAATAACAACACTGGATAACATATAATAATATAATATTTGTGTGATTTTTCAAATTAGGTTCCTCGCAATAACAGTTTGACACTTACACCGCAACGTCTACGCAATAAGAGGGTCCACGTAATAGTTTCCCAGTTATTGGCACCCAGCTTTACCAGGCCTCGTGTTACTACACACATTTAATGCTTAGCCTTCCGTTACTGTTACCGGTATAACCCACGGCCCAACACGTGCTCAGCCCTGTCTTACCGGCGACAATTCGAGAACAGCCGACACTCCAACAGGACACGGGACTTCATCGAGAAAACAAGTCAAGGACTACACGCATAACTCTTATCGAACGATACGTAAATCGGGGCACCTATGCGCAGCATAAACCAATACGTTATTTCGTGATAAACGCGGCATTTATTTGATATAATATCATCGTCGTTACATAGATTAATACAATATTATACAACACACGCCCAAGAGGTAAAACAACACATAATAATCGCACTCGCGCAACACCCCACATTCCGCTTCATCGTCGACGCGAGGCCACGACACGCCGCCGTCGCAGTCAACGGCAATGTCGTTACAGTCGCCATCCGACCGAGTATCGTTGGCAGGCCGTCGAAACGTTTGCGTCGCGGATCCGGTGTTTGTCGACGGTCGACAACGGTTTCGGGTCTAGATCGGACACCTTGACGCGTACCGCCGTGGCCGACGGACTTCCGGAACGGCGGAACGTGACGAACACTGAACAGTCTCGGGCCGTGGCGGCCACCAGATATCCGTCCACCGGGCTCCAGGCGGACGCCGCCGCGCCGGGCTGCAGACGGTCGACGTGGCCGAACTGATGCGGACGCCGCGACGCCCGCAGTCCGTCGTACTCGAGCACGGCCGCGAAACCGGCCGTTTGCATCCGCTGCATCGTCAGGATCTCGTGCAGCACGCAGTGCCGGGGCATCGGAACCGCGCGGAAGTCGCACGTACCGGCGCCGCGGTCCTCCTGGCCACCGTCCGCGGCCGGATCGTCGCGTCCGCCGTCCTCGAAATCGCCGAGCAGAGCGCCCGCGACCAGCAGCAAAACCGCGGCAGACCGCCTCGATCGCAGCGCCTCGAAACCGTCGTCGGCGCGGCCACCGGGTCGCCGTCCAGGAAAATTTTCATTGTCTGCGGGTCCCGGAGCAGCGCGCGGATGGCCCGCCGGACCCGTTCGCGGCGGCCCGAGAACATGTCTAACGGACAGTACCCGCTCGACCTCCGGACGTCGCCCCGGCACAGCTTCAAGTATTGGTGCGCGCAGAACGGGCACTTGGCGGCCCGCACTCCGCCGGACGTCGGCAGTCGTCCTCGTGAACCCATCCTGTTTGGGTTTGATCTCCGCACCAGACGCCGGCTCGCCGGCGGGCGTCGTAGTATGGCAACGGCCACCAGGCCCCGCCCACCTGAGACCTTGTGCTTTCGGCCCGGCGGCCTGTCCGGCCGCCGAGTCGTCGATTTCGCGCAACTCGTCGGCGGCCAC